GTCGCCGCATGCATCCGACGAGCTCTATTCTTTCCTTCTTACAGGATTTGGGGAACTTACAGTCTCCATATTGTTCCTTTTTCTACTGACATCAGGTGTCATTTAGTCGTTAGATTGTTTTAAATATTCCATCGTTCACAATATATGTTAATCCAAGGTATGATACAAGTAATAGAACAGATAAATGTTAGCAAAAAAGGTTATTCGTTCACTCGAAGACACAAAGGAAACAACAAAGAAAGTTCGATATATTTATTAAATGTCTATCTATTCCAATATTCTACCAAATATAATCCATTTCCGATTGCATAAAATTATATGATTGATATACCCAGTTTTTATTACTTTTCAAATTATATTATCGATACTTTGATTGATTTATCCAACATTTTTGCTAAGCTCAGATTTTCAGCGACTTACTACGACATCGTGATCTGCAATCCACAAGCGAAATACATCATTTGAAAGTTTTAGTTCCGAAACCTGTTTAGCAAAAACAACAAGTTAACACTGAAAAATACAAAATTTTATATCCAAAATAAAACTACTTTTTTGTTCTTCCAGCACACTACAACGGATGATGTAAAGGAGATGATTTAGGTCATGTGACATTTTCGCTATTTTGCAATGGTATGTGCCTGATCTAGTTTGTCTATATTAGTGTTTTTGCATATTTTAGGCGGGAATGATAAAGGACGACAAAGTCATAAAAAAGTTCAACGCATACAATGGGTCAAGCTTTTCTGTAACAGCGTTCGTGCCATATTCGAGGCGAAAATGTAGGAATGAGGAAGGACGAAGATGCAAAAAAGTTTAACTTTATGCTTTCGCATTTGTCAATTTTTTTTATTGTCAGCTTGACATAAATCAACCACATATCAAAACAGTATGGCAGTAAAAGACAGTTAAATACGTTTTCGTATTTCAGTTCTACTAGGCAACACACTTTTATACCATGAAATGTAAGCATATCAAATGTATACTGAATGCAAGCAATTACATGTAAAAATCTAAAAAAAGGATGCCTTGGAAGCATTAATCTCTCCAAGAAAACGTGAAAATTGCAGACTCGATTTGATTGAGTCTGTACATGAGGGATAATGTAAAAGTTCAACATCCCTCACGACCCCTAGCTCCTGCTTAGCGATACTCAAATGTCAATACTTGAAACACGCTCCCTTCGCTACTCACTAAATACACTCACGTCAGTAAGAAAGTGAGTGATAGTGGAACATTCGACCGATGCGCAGGAGAGTACACTTGTAAGTGCTTGAATCAATGATCCCGAAGGATAAGAAAAACATAACAACACTGAATATATAGCTGTCCAGTATTTTAGGAAATGTAGGTAATTATATATAGGCAAATAATTAGTTTTATAATTAGTGCACTTGAATTGATAACTTTGATCACTTTAAATTCTTATAGGTATTCAGACATAGTAGTGTATCATCTTATGATCATAGACATATTGTATCAGTTTACTCCTGCCTATATATGGCATCATACTTCAACATGATATGCAGGCTTCATAACCTCTGATCCCCTTTCAAAATTCCATTTTGTTTTGTTTCGCCCATTGTTTTCTCGTTTAGGGCACTAGATTTTCATTACTTGGGAACCATACGCCGCTTTAAATGGAATAGCACTACTGTGTCACATAGAAGGTTCCATGATAACCGCCGTATGAACACATCTGCGGATGTTTCTACATTTTACCATTTCATGTTTAAATGTTGAATTCTCCTTATGCCGGTGCTAGGGGCGTGACAGTACCGTACATGAACAGGCTCAATCAAACGGAGTTTGCAACATTTTCAATGTTGACGAGTTGGGCTTTCTTTAGGGTTTCTTATTTTCTCTATTTCATAACGTTTGAGATAAGTTTCATTAACTGCACTGATAAGTGTTCATTAAGGTCATTGCTTCACGCATGGATAGATCACTGCAAATCCTAAAAACCTCTCAAATTAATGGTTATTGGTTTACAATTATACAAGGATTGGGTGTTTATGAAAATACAGTCAGTTTTCTTTTGAAAAATACAAAGATCCATTTTTATGAAGTTGAAGATTTGAAATCGTGAACATGTGAAGTTAAAATCGTAAATCACGAAAATGACCAATAGTTAGAAATAGTTTTCTTCGCCTAAGTTCTCTAATGTAATTTGGTCGGCGACAACTACGGATTTGAGGTAAATAGATCAAATGTTAATGTCACAATTGCATTGACTTCTTTTGGTCAATACTAGTAGATGACCTCTATTTATTTTGATGTCATTAGGTCAAATGTCAAGTTCATCGTGACCTTGACCACTGAAATCTTGTTCGACTGATACCTAACGGTTAAGGTTTCGTTTGTATGTTGGGCATGACTAGAAGAAGAGACCTATCGTCTTTCAGGTCACAATGGCATGGACCAGTGCGACAGAAAATAATACAGATTAATAAAGCGAAGTATTGAAATTAAATACTAACTTTGACCATATGCATTTTTTTTTCATTTTGACGTCATCAACTTACCACTCATCCAAGCCTTCAATTATTTAACTTTTTAGGGGCATTTTCGGTGACTTGTATGAGGCCCCAATCGATTTCGAAGTTGCTATATTGAAGTCACTTGCGCAAGCGATTTTAAGAGTATTTATGTCCACTGGTCGAGGGCTAAGAGTTGATGACTTCTAATCGAGTAACCTCTCTGGCGTGGGTTCGATCCGCGGGAGATGCTTTGGTAGTTAAGCGTGGAGGAAGGTAGTCTAGTACTGGTGTAACTCTCAAGGAACGATGGTTAGGAAACTACCCGCCTATATAACTGAAATACTCTTGATGAGAAAAGGCTTAATTTGAAACAAACAAACAAGACGACAAGAGTTTAAACAGACATATGTTTGTGAACTTTATTAATTATAATACTATTATAATCTGTTATTATTAATGTAACCCTTGGCTTTTTTGAAATATGCATAGATAATTAAAAATGACACTGACACGGCATATAAAGATGTTTCATCAAGACACATTTTAAGTTAATTAAAAAGTTAAATACTTTATTACATTTTTTTTTATTTTACCACGGCAATACAATACTCTTTTTATATTCTCGTCTAGGATACATCTATTATGAAAGATTTTACATTGTTTATGACCTTAAAAGTATTTGTTTTTTTGTATACGACGAAGAGAACAATCTATATACAAGCCGTTATCTCATAGACGTTGTATGACTTAAAGGTAATATAAACATAATGCCGAACTTGGTTTCACCACAGCAGTTTACTAAAAATAGACAGTTATTTACAAAATAATGTTATCATAAGTAACCATTGAAAAGATTTTTGTAATATTTCAAATTAACAATGCAATACAATAGTACAATATTGAAAACATAACACGAAGCTGATTTGACACGATTGGAACATATTTTAAGACATTTCAACGACGTTTTATCATCTTTTATACTGGACTTCCAGTTATATTTTATGTGTCATCAGGCTTGTTTATGATAACATCGTTTGGACTCAAATGATGGTATAAGTTATTCTCCTGAAAATGTTTGGTTGTCGATTTTACAGTACTGTCATATGTAGAACAATCCTCTTCATCCTGGTGAGATGTTTGCTTATCCTGACCAACGATACTTTTAATTGCACTGTATTCTCCTGTGCTAGCTTTAGTTTGCTGATGTGCTGGAAAAGTACCACAGTGATCATAATCTGAATTGCAGTTTAATACATTATCAGACAGGTTCTTGTTTTCTGAACATGTTGGAACCTCGATAGCATGTACATTATATTCTATTTGGTTGTATAAACTTTCCGTGCTTTGTTCTATTATGCGCGTCTCACCAATATTTTTGTTCCTTGGACTTTCTGTCACCACCTGACTATCAGCTAGATTTGTTTGTCCAGTTGATCCATCTTTCATCTGTGTTTTTCTAATTCTGTAATAAAATAAATGTTATGGTCCCCTTCTAATAGGATAATAATCCTATAAAAGTCCCTTCTTACACAAACGATTATTGTTTGTAGTTAAAGATATATATGCTCAAATATGATATTTGATACATGACAACTGCTATACACTCTCTTTTTTAAATGTAAAATAAAGATCATTTAAGTTCACACAGAGAAAATATTTTCGTACGTTTTAAATGCTACACACTATTTGTAAACACAGTGTGAATACATAGTTTCAATAAAAAAAACTGGCAATTTTGTAAATAAGAACCAAATTAAATATACCTGTAAAAGAGAATGCAGATTCCCAATCATAGTATGTGCACTTTTTATACATATTTAATGTTCACTTAGACATGGCATACAATATATCACAACAAGAAAAGTATTTAACCAAAAGATTGGCACAGTACATCGACCATAATTAATATTAGAAGTCTCTCAAAGCATCTTAATTCACTTGATATCTAACCTTCTTTTTCAAATCCCCGTGCCCCCCCCCCCTTCTCTTAATCACAATTTGTACAAATTTACCAATTGTGTCTGTTAAGGCATTCACATTACATGGATATTTATATAAAATATTTCTTATAAATAAAATGTTGATAGTGTTTAAAGTGACTAAGTACACATATTTATGAAAATAGTTTGTTTTGGAACAATTTGTTATCTTTATATTTAAAGAATATACACAATTTACACAAGTATATAACACTTAACAACACCTTCCATATGTAATTATTTCGTGGTTTGTTGCCACGTATATATATTATCAACCTAATTATTTATAGTAGTGAAGTCATTCCATTATGGGTAAAATCTCTTTAAAAGATATCATTCAGAATAAAAGGTTACTTAACCGTGAGTTACCTAAAGAAGAAAACAGTTTAAATATATATAGTGATAACACTTAAAACCTTTACATCCTATTGGGTATATAAGTATCTTTATTTAAATTTGATAAAACACGGGAAGGAAAGGACACATGACAAAGTTGCCCGAATTTATGAATAACGTAGTATTTATATAGAAATATTCAACATACCTTTTGCAGAAAAACATGCCAAGAAAGCCAATTGCTAAACCAAATCCAAGTCCCAATAATCCGGACACCATAGGAACTGAAACAAATATGTTCAAACTTTTAAGCTCATTGATATATGTAGAGGAATGTTATATACCTCTGTTTGTGTCCTATTTCAAACACAAAAAGCAAGGTCTAAATAAACAAAATCATTTGACTGTAAAGATCGGGCAGCAAACATGTAAACAATGGCAATTTTATCTGTTTATTGTTTGAGCTAATATATTTTCTGCTAAAGACTACTCTGTAATAATTGTTGGATGACAAAATTCAAAATCAACGTTTTCATGTATTTCACATGGCATGTCACATGGCATTTGCTTAACAAAAGTTGCTATTAATCATATACATATATTATATACATGTATTGTAATTAATAAGTAATGCCGTTTCTTTTTATTAAAAAAATGTGTTAAACATATTAATTTGGAGTCTTGACATTAACTGATAATAATCATCTGCGATTTTTTAATTTGAATGACACATTGTATTTCAGTTTGTTAGAATATACCTAAAATGCCATTACTTCCTTTGTCTGTTGAATTTTCAGGATCGACTTTTGTTTGAGCAGTTGACTTCTGTTTTTGTGTTGACAATGTATGATATTTAGATGATGATGAAAGAGAAGACATTGTTTCAGTCACCTGACTTGTTAAATTTGAAACTGGTACCGTTTCTGTTGTTGATTCTGTTGTTGATTCTGTTGTTGATTCTGTTGTTGATTCTGTTGTTGTTGGTGTTGTTGTTGGTGTTGTTGTTGGTGTTGTTGTTGTTGTTGTAACAACTTTTTTGCAATGAATACTGAAAGTGGCTTCTTGATTTAAGTTTTCTAAAAAGAAAATAAGTCTTAAAAGTGATTTAAAGCTTATTTGTTATGCTTAATGTTTGGCCATCTCAAGATTTAAAGTTAAAAAACACACGCACGCACGCACCCACCACACGCACGCGCACGCACGCACACACACGCACACACACAACCTACCTAAAACATATAACAAGAATCATTGAATGATAACGGTTTGGAGGGTTATGTTCAATTTAAAATCAATATCTACAATGTATCAAAATGATCTGTAATGTATATGCGGTACATACTTTGATAGATGGCGAGACAAGCTCCCTCTTGTTCCCGAGTTATATTAGTAATAAACATAAGCTTAGTGTTTTCCTCGATACGTAATTTATGTGAGCTAGTTATTTTATCAAGAACTCTTCCTTTTATTTCAAATTTCAATGGTGACCCTTGAGTGATATTTCTCATTTTGAACACCAAAAAAGCGTTGTGACTAATCCGTGATATGTGACATTCACAAGATGTGTTTCTTAATTTAGGAGCATCGAGAGTATCAATATAAGCAGTCGTTGTATCATTCATCCAGTCCTCTGTACATATTCTCAAAACTGTAAGGAAAATTAATATGATTATTTTATCACAATATGTGCTTTATTATAAATGTTCAAGTTTATGGATATTAAACAAAGTATTTTATAATAACGAGGTAGCAAATATAAGAAAATAACAGAGATGAATCATTTTCCAAATCTTTCAGTTTTATCAGAAGGTGGTGTATATCATAGAAGAGCAGTTTTCTATACTAGACATTTAGCTGTTTAATTTCGATTTCAAATCTTAAATATGGCTGTCATGTTTCACAACTTCTACGCTTTTTGAGTTTGCTTTTAAATGCATTTTAATGTTTATGTATCAGCATCCTGATTATTTTAAAATAAAACAATGATGTTAAAATCAATTTAAATGTATCTTATTAAACGTTTGAAACATAAACGTTTTTCTTTCTAGATTAGACAAACTGTTAACATAATATATTCTACTTACTCTGTGTACTCTCGGGCCCGCTACAGAATCCTTCTGGGAAACTATGTGAGTCTGTCAAATGTAATTGTTTAACAATATTAAGCTCTTTCATTATAATTCAACTGTATTGAAACAACACATCAGGCTTATAACAAGTGTAAACAATATTTTTACAGGTAGCTGCCATATAATTAAACTTAATGATGGTACACTTTACTTTTTAACCTGTTGATTTTAATTATTCTACAAGATTTCATGTTATTGATCAAATAAAACATATTCATTTAATGAAAAAAGTAAACAATTTAGATAATAAGATTCAAAAGATGAAACAATACAAACATGTACATTTGCATTTAAAATTAGCATGTAATGAACTTACTGTACATGATAAACAAAATGATAAACGCTAACAATTGAAGAAAATACATGTTTCAAAATGATTTATGGTATCCTTGTCAAACACCATCACAAGTGAAGTATTGATATAAATTGATGCAAATATATCTATATTGTTAATTATTCAAATAGATGTTTGAATACTATGGCCCTGATATTATCTCTAGTATATTGCATTATAAATCTTTCAATACTAATAATATTTAAGTGTCTCGTTTATGTAAGTGGGAGAGGGGGCGAGTGAAAAGATAAGTAAATCGTGCGTGATGAAAGTGTTAGCTCGTGACTGCGTAGGTACATATGTATTGTGATGATGTGGCTTATCTGCGTTAAATATGTGAGTGGGTATGTGAATGAGTAGTTGAGTTGAGTGAATGAACGAGTACGTAATGGGAGTGAGTTAATGAGTTAGAGAATAAGTCTATTTGTAAGGTAAGTCTGTAAATGTCAGTGATATAGGTTTGTTTGTGTGTATGTTATTGAGTAAAGTCAGTAAAAAATGACTGAACGACATAAGTGGCTATAAGATTGCCAGTAAATAAATTAGTGTGTATGCGAGAGAGTGGGTGAATGAACGAGTGGGTAAGTGATTGAAAAGGAAGGGAAGTGAATGAGTGAACGAATAGTCAGTCAGTGAGTCTGCGAACATTTGTAAGCGTGAGTGATGAGTCAATGCGTGAGTGAGGTCAATAACTTCTGGGTGAGTGACTAAGAGTTGAGGTTACGAATGAGTAATGCTAGTAGTATAAGTTAATGGCAAGTAAGGTTTATAGGAAGATTATTGGCAACAAGCTTTGCCATCAAAAATTTAATTTTTGGTGAGAGGCTAAGTAATGAAAATTGTCTACAGAGGGCAATGAAATAGACTAGTAAGCGGATAATTCAAGAGGTGATACATAATCAATTATTGATTACATTGTGATAAATTAACTTCTGCATCACTAAACATATTAAATATATGAAGCATATTTTATAATATGCAGAATCCTATTTAGCTTTGAAAAACGCAATGCTTTAAAAATACACAAGTAATTGAAAATGTTATGTTGATAAACAAACGAAATTTATTTGTCCTACACTAAAAATCTTAGCATATTATCATGGTTTAACAGCTTAAATTTTTATAAAACAGTTAACGAAGACATGGATTTTCCTGACTGAAAAGTATTAAATATTTCAAAATCTACTTTTAGTGTTAGAGTTATGAGTGTTTACAGTAGAAATTATCATCCCTCAGCAAATAGAAATTTTACTGTAGCTCAGTTCATATGTACTTTTTAAGCAATTGTAAACCGCTTTTAATTTTATAAACCAGTCTTGTTCTAAGAATACACTTATTTAGTCTTTATATAATTTACAGTAGAAATGTTTATGAAAATATATCTTAGCAATTGTGACTTTTTTTCCTGATATAAAGACATTGAATTTATTAAGATTTGCTAGGGTTGTTCCAGGAAATCGTGGACAGTTTCGATCTTAAAGGATATACCCAACATATCAATGTCAAATTTAAGGTTGTTTAAATAAATATATCCACAGCAAAATTTCAAAATAACAGAGTAAAAAGTGAACGATGAAAGTAAAATGGACATGAATGTCATGTATGTCACATGTATTAGTGCGTTTTCAACCTTTATTTATATTTGCTTAACACAAATTGCTAGTAAGCTTGCAGGTATACATATTCTAACATATAATTAATACTGTTGTTTTTATATATAGTAACAACATCTAGGGTATTTTACTGCAATTATGGCAAGATTTAGGTCATTATGCAGTTTTGGCAGCCTTGCGACTCGAATTTATTTTTCAACAAACCCCATGGGCTGGACCAATTTTGACCCTAGGACTTTTATTTGAAGACATTTAGGACACACACTAGAAGAAGAGTTTTCACGTTTTTACTTTTGGTTACCGTGGCAACCAGAATTTAGCAAGTTTTAAAACGCTTCAATCCAGGAACATTCCCAGCTCATATCAGCCTATTAGTATATGAGGATACATGTATGTTGTTTTAAGAAATGTTTGACACGATTAACGACGCACGTCCCAAAAAGCTCACCCTTAAAACTTTGCGCTCAGATGATTTAAAAATAATACTATTTTGCGTTAAAAGAGTAAAGAGTTCCGGATGAAAATATCTATGGTGTTACCTTAAGTAGGTTTTTAACCATTCAACAATGATTTTGTGCATACGGAAATATAATATCATATTTCCTCCATACATGCATTTTTGGAAAATTTAACCAATAATTTTTGATGCAGAAATAAAACTTTATATACATTTGAAACATGTCTTTACTTTTTCTCGACTTGCTTTTTAATGCTTTTTTATCTATATGTATGCTTATCCTGATTCTGTAACTATAATCTATTGATGTTAAAATGAACATTCATATATCGTATAATCGCATGGTTTGGAGATTTTTCTTTGCTCTTTCTAACCCCTCATATTAAGTACTCCTTCAATGAGGATTTGATAAGGATTTGAAACCTGTGTAGATATAAAACAGTGCTCATTTTCTCCTCAATTCATATCGGAAAAAACTGATTCATTATATATAGCTTTAGGGCAGCTTACGATAGCATTAGTTAGTAATGGTTCATTTTTAAATTTTATTTATTTTATTTATCTTTTTTGTTGGGAGGTGTACCTTTCAAACATTTTTTCATCATTTACTTTTTATTTATTGCTGACCTCTGTTTCAAAAAATAATTAAATTGCGATAAAACAGTTAAAATATAGGAAACGAGTTTGTCACGAAGGTATAACACTGACTGCGGAGACATTGATGGATGTGTTTTTGGTATGACAGCAGGCCAGTGTTATTATGTAAACGTTTGAAACCATACTTACTAGATTATTTAATTCTATGAATCTCCACATACCGTTCACAAATATTCTACTTACCCGATGTTTTTTCATTACTTCCACAAAATTCTTCCTGGAGACTTTGTGATAAAATAAATTTTAAACAATATCAAGCACTCATATTTATGTCAATGATATTGTAGTCATCTCAAGATACCAAATATTTAAATAACAAAAGAATATGATCTACAGGGAATACTAGTATAGCTGCTGTATCATTGCCATTAATTATCCATGATGTAAATGGATTTTTTTTCAATAGATCCTAAAGAAAAAGTAATCTTATTAATCAAGTATCACATGAATATTTCATAAAAATATAAACACCCCCTTTATCTGATAAACGTCTTTATATTAAGATCATAATCTTGATATGAGAACAAAATACAGATCTATAAATAAAAGAAATGTAAATTTCCATATAAAATTATCATCAAATAAACTTACCATACAGGAATAACAAAATGTTAAACGCTAACAAATGAAGAAAATACATGTTTAAAAATGTATTAATGCTATCCTTGTCAACCACTATCACAAATGAAACCCATTGTATATATGTGTATATATAAATTTAGACTTCACTACGGATGTAAAAATGGTTTTGATACAAGAGCTTTGTGTTGTTCCTGAATTTCAACTGATGCAGTTATATTCATATTGTTTAAGTGGCATTATGTACATTCAGAGGAATAAAGTGAGTGAACAGATAAAAATCAAAATAAGTTGCATTTTGCCATCATTCCTTTCAATTTTAAAATTCATTTCACATATACAATAAATAGCACAGATTGACCAAGAAAATTTCTTTTAATACCTTTAACGTTCAATATATAAAAGAGAATTGGGAAGTCATTTTATATTTAAGGCAGATTTTATTTTTTTATTGTAAACATTTATCAATATCAACTGTTGGTAAATCACCATTGTAACAGCCAATCCTTCATAATATTTGGTCAATTTAGGTCAACTTGACAATGTAAAATTATCATAATATCAGTTTAACTTCCTTCAATGTTTCGGCTCGAATACATGTACATGTTCAATTATCATTACCGTAGTGTAATATATATTGCATTATACATCTTCCTAGAATATTTAAGTGTCTCTTCAGGTTTTCGCAGTATATGTAAGTTGGAGAGTGGTTAAGTGAGGGAGAGAATGAGTGAGTAGGGAAGTGAGTGAGTGAGTGAGTGAGTGGGTGAGTGAGTGAGTGAGTGAGTGAGTGAGTGAGTGAGTGAGTGAGTGAGTGAGTGAGTGAGTGAGTGAGTGAGTGAGTGAGTGAGTGAGTGAGTGAGTGAGTGAGTGAGTGAGTGAGTGAGTGAGTGAGTGAGTGAGTGAGTGAGTGATGAAAAGTCTTACAAGTAACAAGAGTTGGTATGTGAAATAGTACGTGATTTGAAATGTGGTCAGGTGTGTGAAAGAGTTATAAAGTTAGTATGTTAGTGACGTCAGTCTACAAATGTGTGAGTGATTCAGGCCTGTCTGTATGTGAGAAACATAAGTGGCAATTGGCTTGCCAGTAAATTAATTAGTGGGTACCTTAGTGATAATTAGATTAGTGTGTGAGTGAGTAAATGAATGTGTGAACGAGTGTGAACGAGTGTGTGAGTGGGTGAGTGAGTGAGTGAGTGAGTGAGTGAGTGAGTGAGTGAGTGAGTGAGTGAGTGAGTGAGTGAGTGAGTGAGTGAGTGAGTGAGTGAGTGAGTGAGTGAGTGAGTTGATAAGTGAATGGTCAATGATTATGTGAATGAGATCAAAGATCTATCCATCCATCCATCAGGAAAATGAGTGTCGAAAAAAAGTCACATTCATGTAAAATAACACAACAGAACACAATCAATGAGTTCACTAATTTAATCATTCTAAAGCTACGGAAGAAACAAAGTCCTTTCAGTTAAAAAACTGCTGTCAAGGAAAATGTGTTTTCTTGTTTTGAGGAGCTTAGAGGATAGTTTGGAGATTTATGATTCAAAGTGGTTATTGTAAAGTGGTTTCACAGGTTGTGGTAGAAGATTATATCTTGTGGGACATAGACTGAATATAAAAAATTGTTTTTGAAGGTGATTGTCTAAAATAGTTTTCTTTTCGCCTCTTGGTACTACATGTACTTGTGACAATTCACCCAGTTAATGAATCCTTCCTAAATTTCAATCAATCACAATAGGTAGATTGTATTTAGATGCCTGTTTAGGCCATAAGTAGTGAGTGGATTGAGTGGGAAAAACTGAGTCGTAAACCTAAATTTTACTTATTCTAGATTTTGCTGCAATTCCTCGAACAGATTGTCTGTGGTCGCGGTTAATTATGTACTAATTGCAGTAACTTTTTATGTCGTTTTTGGTGGTTTTTCTGCCACGCGGCATATGACTCTTTGTTTTTACGAAATATAAGTAACAAAACCCATCATTAGTCTAAACATTAGAGTAAAAAAACTAAATGATAATGAAGAATTTACCTAAAATAAAGGAAAAAAACAGAATGCCTAAAGAAAGCCAAACACGACAAAGTTGAAAATGTTGCAGGCTCGGTTCTGAATTTCTGAAAATTCTGAAATTTGTTGGAAGAAACAACGTCAAATCAAAGAAAAATATGTAAAGCCCATCTCTCGTATGCTTATCTTATAATTTGGCGATACACGGGAATATCTTTTCTGTATGTCCTTCTGCGAAATAAATGATTCGGAAATATTCGGTTGCATTGTATAATAAAGCGGACGTTTAATATCATATATTTAGAAATATAATTATGAAAGTTTAAAGTTAAGTGCTTTTTAAGTGTTAATTAGTTGGATTATTATTTCCTGATACAAGTGTCATATATCGAGAAACGCAAAACAAATTCTGAAAAGGGAAGATCCTTCGAGCGGAAGGAATCAGAGAAGTAACAATTGAAATGCCGAAACTTTGTTTCATTTTAAGTCAAAGATCCCGGTGCAAGAAATATGTTAGATTATAAATCTTCAATACTCAGCCCTTCAGTCAGAACTTGTCTCAAATACGATATATATTACTTAATTATTCCGCATCCTGTTCAACTGCTGATATATCAATTATTAAATGAAAGTACTTAAGAAATTGTTGATAAATTAAGAGTTTGTCATGATTTATTTAAAATCATATAATGAGATTCCTTCCCGTTGTACAAAGCTATTTTAAATTTATAAATTTATAAAATGAATTTCATTTCTTTCTCAACTGACAGTGTATTGTAGTTGTCGCCCTTTTAAACTCATTGTAAATTTGCGAAATAAAAATAGCTATAAATGAAAATACAATACCTGACATTGAGCCATTATATCCCGTTATTTCCATGTGTGTCTTTTTTAAAGTTTATATCAAATGTTGTTTATGTCGAAGACAGTGGTTTTCTCAATGATATGGTTCTTGAGAGCTACATTAAAGTACTAAATGGTGTTTTCTATTTCTAAGATTTTTATATGAATAAAAGAAAAATAATAATACTAAGAATAAAATGAATACTAGAATAAATATGAATAAAATAAAAGAATAATACTGAGTGTATAAACAGTAAATGTTATTTTATTAACATATAAGAACAGTAATTACAATGCAATTATTGCTTCACATTCTGAAAGGCCTAAACATTTTGAATACTTATGATATTAAATCGGTCCAATCGGTATTTTCGGCAACTGAACACCGATTTAGGAGTTTTGATGCAAATGAATTGACCAAGCGAGCCGTAAACCTAAGAAGAAACTGTTTACAAACAAAACGGCAAACCGATAAAAACAGACGATGAAATATGAACAACAAAATCAACAAAGAAGGGAGACAATCAATAAACGCATCCCTCGACACATGACTACCGGAAAGTCGCCAAGCAGGACACGAGACAGAACATGGCATACGGGCAAACAATGGACGGGATGTCAATTTAAATCACCCGACGCTTAAGTGATAGAAACCTACAAGACAGTAAAAGAAGAAAACTTATGAAAAGGCCTACAAAAAGGACAAGGGCAAAGGGGAAGGGGTCAGAAGGACTGGAAAGGGGGAAAGTTAGGGGGGAAATGAGAATAACGACAAGGGGAAGATCTCATGATACTTATCACAAACGAGAGAAACAAGAAGGGCTCAATAATGTCACCACAAAAGCTACAATGAACAATACATAAAACAGGTGAACATAAGAGGCATTGAAACAATCAGCAGGATAAGAATTGATTGGTATGGTATAGTGCACCAAACCTCACTCTTAGACCCAACATACTCCTTTTAAAATGATGCAATGTAAATAAAATTAATGCCCCCCAAGTGAAATTCTAACTGATGATATGGTAACTAAAGGTGAAATAAGTAAAATCAGAATTGATCATGTTTGAAATGTCAGATGTAATCGAAAGAGGCAAGCGTATTTTTGAAATCAAAAGAAGAAAGCGTAGTGTCCAACTTTTTCAACTTCACGAATTCACGATTTCAACTTCATGAAGTTGAAATCGTGAATTCGTGAAGTTTAAATCGTGAATTCATGAAGTTGAAATCGTGAATTCGTGAAGTTGAAATCGTGAATTTACGAAGTTGAAATCGTGAATTCACGAAGTTGAATTCGTGAAGTTGTAATCACGAATAATGAAGTTGAAATCGTGAATTCGTGAAGTTAAAATCGTGAATTCATGAAGTTGAAATCGTGAATTCGTGAAGTTGAAATCGTGAATTCACGAAGTTGAAATCGTGAATTCATGAAGTTGAAATCGTAAATTCGTGAAGTTAAAATCGTGAATTCATGAAGTTGAAATCGTGAAGTCTTGAAATTGAAATCGCGAATTTGCGAAGTTTAAATCCTGAATTAATGAAGTTGAAATCGTGAATTCGTGAAGCTGAAGTCGTGAATTCGTGAAGTTGAAACCGTGAATTCATGAAGTTGAAATCGTGAATTCATGAAGTTGAAATCGCGAATTCGTGAAGTAGAAGTCATGAATTCACGAAGTTGAAATCGTGAATTCACGAAGTTGAATTCGTGAAGTTGTTATCACGAATAATGAAGTTGAAATCGTGAATTTGTGAAGTTGAAATCGTGAATTCATGAAGTTGAAATCGTGAATTCATGAAGTTAAAATCGTGAATTCATGAAGTTGAAATCGTGAATTCGTGAAGTTGAAATCGTGAATTCACGAAGTTGAAATCGTGAATTCATGAAGTTGAAATCGTGAATTCGTGAAGTTGAAATCGTGAATTCATGAAGTTGAAATCGTGAATTCATGAAGTTGAAATCGTGAATTCACGAAGTTGAATTTGTAAAGTTGAATTCGTGAATTAATGAAGTTGAAATCGTGAATTCGTGAAGTTGAAATGGTGAATTCATGAAGTTGAAATGGTGAATTCATGAAGTTGAAATGGTGAATTCATGAAGTTGAAATCGCGAATTCGTGAAGTAGAAGTCATGAATTCACGAAGTTGAAATCGTGAATTCACGAAGTTGAATTCGTGAAGTTGTTATCACGAATAATGAAGTTGAAATCGTGAATTTGTGAAGTTGAAATCGTGAATTCATGAAGTTGAAATCGTGAATTCATGAAGTTGAAATCGTGAATTCACGAAGTTGAATTT